TGCATGTTACTTCTTGACCTTTGCCTGACCTATGAATAATTATTTTTATCAGTTTTTACTATACTATAAAGTATAGAAGTGGCCACTGTTATAGAGGCATGATGGGGACTTCCTGCTTCTCCAGAAAGCTTTGAATCTGTCAGGAGTCAAATAAGACACTTACATAGGATCAGAAGGATAGAATCGTGAGGATTCCACAGAGAAAGCAGGCTGCCTAGGCATCCTTACTTTAACTAGGAGCTGCCTTTAAGTAAGAGGCACATAGTGAGGATTCCCAGTAGCTACTGTGTTCATGGTGAGGTCCAGTAGCATAACCTGTAGAGAAGCCCCAGACTGACCTAAATCTTGACAAAGCAAATCTAGAACATGTAATTCAAAGGACATCTTTTTATTTTGTGTTTGAAGAGACAGGGTTTCACTATCAAGTGCAGGTTGGTCTGTAATTCCTGCCTCTGCTTTATCCTGTTTAACTGAGAGTATAGAGATATATGCCACTAAGCTCAGCTCCAAGCTGATTTATAATGATATATAGTTGTGTATTCAAATAAATAACAGAGCCTAAATCTCACTGTCTAACAGAATGAAAACCAAGAACTGTCATTTGCCCAGAATTTTTCTGTAGTTGCTGAAAATCTGAGGCTATTTCTTCATCTGATGAAAATTCAGAATCATACAGTAAGTTCTCTGACTTGAAGATCTTCAGGATACATACTCCTAGTGGAAAGTAGCATCCTAAAGGAAATGGCAATGGATATATTTAATAAACCTAATGTTTCTAATTTTCATTTTTATAATAGGGTCTTACTTACAAGCCCTGTTTGCTTCTAACTCAGCATAGCTGAATCTGGTCTTGAAATCTGGATGGTCTTGCCTCCACCCACTCAGTGCTGGACTATAGGAGTGTTGATACCATGCTCTTATTCCATGCTATTTTCAATTCACTTCGACTAATACTAGGACCATGCTACCCAGACACACCCCAGACCCCAGGAGCACTGACATTACCTTGGCTGTGGGTAGACGTTCAGAATCTCTGGTACTGCTTCTCAATCAGAATCAGAACCTAAGGCTTAGCAAGATCACCAGTTCACTGTGTACACATTAAAGCTGAAAAGTGTTGGTCCAGGATAGAGTTTTCTGATTTCTGGTCCACAACTGTGTTATAGCCAGAATCTGGGTTATATTCCTAAAGCCTGTTGGCTACCTGAGTTGGTGCTGGGTAGACAGCATAAAGGTGACATGCCTCAGCTGTCTCTAGGCCAGTTGTTCCAACCTGTGGGTCGGGACCCCACTGGCAACACTCTCTCTCCAAAAATATTTACATTATGATTCATAATAGTAGCAAAATAATAGTTATGAAGAAGCAACAAAAATAATATTATAGTTTGGAGTCACCACTAAATGAGAAAATATATTTAAGAGTCACAGTATTAGGAAGGTTGAAAACCACTGCTCTAGACAGTATTATATGCTTACCTTCAACTGTCCCTCAAATACTCTCTAATTCTTGATGTGAAAAAAGTCAGGAATCACTGGAACACTATGCTGACTGCATGATATTACTATATGCATGTGCTTGGGTAAGAAAGCGTGGAAGGGACCGGATGCCTTCCTCAGAAGGGTAAGAGGCAGTGTTTGAGAGACAAGGTCCACGGGAAAATCTTTATTCTGGAACTCACCAGTAGAGGGCGTTGCTGGCTCATCACATTTCACAGTCCCATTTGAACACTGGCTAGAAGTAAAAAAAAAAAAAAAAAAAAAAAAAAAAAAAAAAAAAAAAAAAAAAAAAAATGTTAGTTGATAGACCCAAACCTTGGGTTTTATACAAATAAATTGCTGTCTTCTGTCCAGCTAGAAGACAGCCATTTCATTTTGACATCTTTTATCAAACAGCTCCATATAAGGGGTCTTGTGAAAGACATGACGATAGAAACGCCACAGTATTGTTAATAGACTGGTCCAAGTGTTTATATTTTAGTAACAGGGGGAAAAGATACAACTGATTTATACACACTCAACACAAAAATACATTCAAAAAAACATTAAAAATCTAAAAATCTGTTCATAATTGACATTTAAGTAGTCAGAGGTAGTAAACCCGGAACAATTCTGAAGAATAGACTTAGATCAGAGAAAAAGATTCTAATGTTCAGTGGAAATATATAAACTACAATATACAAAGCACTGCTCTGCTTGACCAGGTGCCAGGAGATAAGGTGGGCAAAAGAGGTTAAAGCCAGACCCTGCTCTGATGTGATGATTTTTATTTCCTGGGCCGAGCTACCCAAGTCTTTAAAACCAGAAGTGAGATGGTCAGTGTGAATGTTAAGACAATCATCCTGGGGCAGCTCACTGAAGACGAACTGAGTCACAAGTGCCATGCGATTGGTTGTAACATTAGGAGGAAAACCATATACAGACAAACGAACTTCGCAAATTCCTCAAGAAGTTAACATAATAGGAACACAGGCCAGCCCTCAGTAACTCCAGCACAGATTTCCCTTCGGCTTTAGAGCAAGACTGTGTTCTACACTTGCAAAATGAAGGAATTGATATATAAAGGGCCACATCACATGAAAACCACATGCACACATTTTTCGAAATAGAATGTCACTCAGAGGTGTATTCATACGGCAAATACCATAGAGGAACTGAGGCAGCCAAGTGTTCTTAATGTACTTCTCCTGGATGAGAGGCATTTGACAGGGAAGCAGATAAGGTCATAGCGCTAATTAGCTTTATTTTTGGCACTAAGGAAGGGTGGGTTTTAATTTTACTAAACTTAAATCAACAATATTAAGGATATTAAATTCAAAAGAAGGCTCTTCCAACACTTGGAAGTGGAACTCAAACAGGAGACCAGTTTGCAATGGTTTTGTTATAATTTATTCACTCCCAAACTTGTGTTAAGGATTAGTCCTCATGGTGATGCTGTTAGAAGGAGAGACTTAAGGCACATATTGATTTGGTCATCAGGGAATTACTTCTAAAAGAGATAAATGTGTTTATTACCTGGAGTGAATCATTATTAATCTCTCAGAACTGGACTGTTTACAAGGGTGGTTGTTATGAGCAGTTGGCTCCCTTGGCTCTCTCTTCCCTGTGGCCACAATTCTGGTGGACTCCTGTAATACTGAGCTCAGTAAATCTTTATAAAGTGTCCAGCCTCTGGTATTTTGTTATAGCAACTTAAAGCAAAGACAATTTTTAGAAAGGCACCGGAAAGAAAAGGTGAGTGTCATTGTTAAGGCACTGGGATGGGAAGGAAAGAATGGATTTCACCTACACCAAGAAAATAAAATCAAGTCAAATCCAAGGTTGTTAGGGTTTTTAAGGCTGAGTGTATTGAGCTTAAGAAGGAAGTCAGAATGATTTTCAGATTTCTGGCTTGGGAAACTATAGAAGGTAGTACATTCTACACAAGAAAAGATGCAATGATTTCTTTGTGTTGTAATCAGGGGGTGGGAGGAGATGGAAATAATTATAAAGGTAAGTTGAGTGTGAGTGATAGTTTTGGGGGGAGTTGTTTTGTTGTGTTTTGTTTTTCGAGACAGGGTTTCTCTGTGTAGCTTTGCACCTTTCCTGGAACTCACTCTGTAGACCAGGCTGGCCTCGAACTCACAGAGATCCGCCTGGCTCTGCCTCCCAAGTGCTGGGATTAAAGGCGTGTGCCACCACCACCCAGCGACAGTTCACTGTCAATACAAAATGAGCTGTGAAGCAAGGTCTGCAGTAGAGCAAACACAGCCAAGCCAGGTGCCTGGGCACAAATCCCAGCATTATTATTTATCAGGTGGCTTAACTACATGTGCCTCATTCTGCTTCTGTATAAACTGGAAGAAAATGGCAGACCCTATCTCTTGCAGTTTATAGTCATGAGTGCTTAATTGATCATAAATGCAGCATGCCCAGAACAGTTCCAGGATAATAGAAAACACACAGTTCTTGCTCAATATGATTGCTACCATTATCCATACGTGAGGCTCAGTGGTAAATACTTGTAGGGCCACCATAAGGAAGCTACTAGGAGATAGATGTGGATAAATAGGTCCTGCTATGTGGATGTGACTGTATTTTTAGTAGACAGGTTATATCTGGAGTGGGTGTTATCCTAGGAGTGCTATTGAACAAGGCTTGATACACATCAGAAGATAAGTGACCTCTGTGTATGGTATTGTTCAGAGCTATCCCAGAATTGATTTTTTTTTTTCTGAGCCAGTAGATGAACCATGAACCCATAAGCCCTCAGGATGTAGTCTGAATTACTACCCCATTCCTAACATCTACTAAAGAACCAAAACCTATTAAAGGGCTTCCGTTTCACCAGTACATGTCTCAGGCAATTTCCTGTTTCACACTCTAATGTGATATATATATATATATATATATATATATATATATAATATTATATTATATTGTATTGTATTGTATTATATTATATTATATTATATTATATTATATTATATTATATTATATTATATTATATTCATCGATACCTACCATAATCCTGAAGGTGTTGGGATAAGCTCCCCAGGCTGATAAATGCTTCCCCTATAATGACACCGGCAATGATATCTATAAGAGGAAAGGTGAAGTAAATAAAACAAGACAGGAATTTTTTTTCCAATACAACTGAAATGACAGCTGACTCTTCGCTCTGCAACTGGTCACTGTAGACCGCCACCATCCACAGTCCTGATGTACAAATGGCAGAAACTAACCAGACGGAGTTTGAAGGTCAAACTAGTTCTGAACTGTTAGTTGAGTCCCAAGAAGCATCACTGAAATGCATTTCAGAAAAACCCATCTGCTGCATCTTTTAACTCTACATCTGCAAACCAAAGTCTTCACTTCCTGTGAGGGCTAAGAACTTTCTGAGCGAGAATGGACACTACCATCCTACCACTCACATGACAGGGAAATGTAATTGCTAGTAATTGGGGTGTGGAGAAATCAAGTAAGAAGCATCCCTGCTTTCGGCGAGTAGCTCACCACATTAAGAAAAAAAAAACTATATAATAAAACAAGGGAGAAAAAGATATTTAGCAATTTAAAGAAATGAGCACAAAAGTTCATTTGGCCTATCAGGAGACAAACAAACATAACCCGGCTTATGGTTGTTGAGCCGTCCCTGTGACTTACATGGGCACACAAAAGTGAAGTGTGTCCTCATAGAATTTGCCTTCGGGACAATTACAGCCTTCTGCACAATCGTCATTGCACTGCTCGAGGGAGGAGAGAGAGGAGCAGGAACGCCGGCAGAGCGAGGAACAGTGGTGGTACAGCATGCCCTTCTGACACACCACGGCTGTGGACAGACAAGTGTCACTTAAGAAAGAGCCCCAGGCATAGACACATATGTTCACTCACGTAGATATCAAAGTGGATATAAATCATGCGGCAAACACTATCTTGCATCAGTGAACACATCACAGATTTGAAAATAAAATCAATAAAATGAATGAATGAATAAACAAAGACATAGGGAAAACATCCCTGGCCTCAGTAAGAGTATAACATTAAGTGAGATTCCTATTCTTCAGATGCTGTTAACTTAGACATTCTGTGGCAGTCTTAATTCCTGTACCATATTTATTTGTCCTACGGCCTGAGTAAATTCCTGTGTTAATTTAAGTCTTCATAGTGCTATGCCTTCATCCTACTTTGCTCATCATTGCTTTGATAAAACACTGACCAAAACCAACTCACACATCCTAACCACACATCCTAACTGACCAAAACACTGACCAAAACCAACTCACACATCCTAACTCACACATCCTAACCACAGTCCATCACAAAGAAAAGTCAACACAGGAACTCCACCAGGACCTGACTCAAGAGCCATGGAGGAAAGGTATTTACTGGCTTGCTTCCAAGTGCATATTCAGCTACCCTTTCTTCAACAACCTATCCAGGGGTGGCACTGCCCACAGTGGGCTATGCTCTCCATCAATTCACAGTCAAGAAAAATGTCTCACAGTTATGATGTCACCAGTCTGATGGAGGCAACTCCCCAGCTGAGATTCTTGTTTCCCAGATGGCTCTAATTGTGTCGAGATGACAAAAACTAACCAGTATGGTCATTATCACATTTATCATATTCTTGAAACCAAAGTAAGCATCTGTCTATAAAGGTGATACAATTTGATTTTATTGATCCATACAGTGTTTGGGTTCTTTTTTTAAATCGTGTTTATACTTTATTTTTTTTTAAAAAACTACCAATTTCTCTTTAGATCGAATGGAACTAAAAATGGCAAGCTAGTTAAAATCATCTAAAACAGATCTTCACAATGACAGCTCCAGCTGACATGCCAGTGTGGGTGGGGGAAATCTTATGGGCTCCTACCCCCAGATGAAGAACTATAGGCAATTAAGGGCTGTTGAGAATCAGTCTTCTCCAGAGGGAAGCCCTCCGATAGGTTGTCTAATTCCAAGTGCTCAGTCCTCAACACATATACATATGAGCAATATTAAATAGACTCAGCAGGTGGTATTTATACATAGATATACAATAATAATAATTACAGAAGAGGTCATAATTACTGAGAGGGAATGGGGAGACACTGGAGAAGTTGGAGGGAAAAAGTGAGTGGAAATGATACAGAGTCCTCATGTGTAAAATTCTCAAAAATATAATAGTAAATTTAAAAACATCTGAAAATTTCTAAGAACTAATAAAAATTCGATTTTAAGAGTTTTTTCCTTTATTTAAGGTAAACAAAAATTTAAGATACTCTAAAGCAAACACCTTGACCATTCTGATTCAAACACCATTAAAATTATGTTAGATGTGTGATGTAACTTTGTGAGCACAAGAGTGGAGAGGATTCCAGATGCCGTAAGTAAAGAGGGAAATAAAACACAGAGCTTTGAAGCAGAGGAGCGGGGTGCTGGTCCTAGTCATCTTAGATCTGGGATTTCACTCATGTGGAATGGAAAGTCCCTTATAAAACAAGAAATTGGAAGAGCCAGGCTGGAGAGATGGCTCAGCCATGAAAGGTTAGGCTTATAACCAAAACGTCCAGAAATTGGAAGAACTGCAAGCTGACTTCTCAAAGATGAGAAGCCTTGATGGAAAGAGGGACAAGGGCAGGGGTTAGATGTATAAGGGACCTAAGGGCTACTGTTTATTTCCAGCTTTGCAGGCTGAGCCCTGCTTTTGTGTGTCAACAGGGAATGTAACAGTTTTCAGGAAACTTACTAAAACACACACACACACACACACACACACACACACACACACACACACACACACACACACAAAAGAGGCCCAAGAGTCCTAGCTGGAAAAATAATTATAGGAAACATACAGAATTTCCCTTAAATGGAACAGCAGACATCATCACCAGAAGTAGCAGAGTTCAAGAACATGAAAGAGTAACTGCCAAGTGCACATTGGACCTACTTACTATAGATCAGCTGTGTCACTCACAACATCAACTTTTTCCATATTCTTCAATATTTGGATATGACATTTCCAGGATAAAAATAGTCTCAAAATTTTCAAGTTATTTCTAATGCTTCTTTCAAGATACATAATCATACTCTAACTTTGTAATAAATAATTAACAGTTATTGGTGTTCTCTCTCTCTCTCTCTCTCTCTCTCTCTCTCTCTCTCTCTCTCTCTCTCTGTATGTGTGTGGAGGTGGGTGGGTGTGTCTCTCTCTTCCTTTCCCTTCCTTCCTCCCTCTCCCTTTTCCAGTGAGTTTAAGTGAAGCAAGCTAAGTAAGCATTATAGTGCCCACTCCTCAGGTTATAAGTTCTTTTATCCACCATATATCTACTTTAAACAAACAGTATTCGTTTATTTTTCAGTACTTACACACTTATAAGAACATTTCAAATAACTCATATACAATATTGACCTCTCTTTGAAAAAAATTAAAAGTGGCCGTTAGGAATGCCAACCCCTCAAAAGAGTTACCTGGTCATCTGCCTGTGCCGCCATACTCACCACAGAATGAGATCTGTGCTCTGAAATTAATGGGCACTCCACGCTGGCCACACAGGTAGGCGTAGTGGGCAAGAGCGTTGCACAGGCAGGAGCTCCCACACTTGCATGCATCATGGCGGCACAGCTGATAATACAGCCCCGGACTCACGTAGACATGACAAGGAGCAAAGAGCTCCTGGTGGATGACGTCACAGTGTGCAGCATACCCAACTGACAGAACAAGAAGCCATGAATCTTTCATACACCAGACCAGATGTTACTCGAAGGGTGGGTTACCAAAACTACTTGAGTACCTCCCTTTCCTAAGGTATTGTTCCTTTAAATGAGAGCCAAGAAGTCAAGCAACTTACACAGGGAACAGCACCAAATCAATGTGTGAACAACACATTCAGTCGTCCTTTAGCCAAAAATAACATGAGCAATGCATGGGCTGACAGAAGCAGTAGCCTCAGTCAGCCCAGGCCTGAGGGTCACCTCAGGAAACCTGCTCTGAGGGACTGGGGATTAGTATTTCCAGGCCTCCGTGCATAACAAGAGTGGTTCAGATAATGGATGTAATGACAAGTCTGTAGAAAACACAATTATCCCAGGACTGGCCATCATTGCATTCCAATGGCGTCTCGGGGTAAAAGACAATGGGGCAGATGTCACAGTCATCCATTTCAACATCTGCACAACACAGTGTCCAATGTCTGGCAAGCGTGAGGAGCTCTCTTTTGTTTGATGACTTAATCGATGTGTGAGGGGTTGGGTGAACAGTGAATAGAAATTAGCGATTGGAATGTATTTTGAAGTCTGTGAGACATAACTGTCGTCATATTATTTGAAGCAGGTTCCTATAATCACAACTTCAGATCAGTTGCTGACCAAATACAATCCTGTGTAGGACTGGCGAAACAAGTTGGACAAGATCAGGGAGCTATTGTCTTTCAGGAAAAGGAGAAAAGGTGAGGTATGTGGTTCCTTGATGTAAATGTACCTGACATGCATTGGTTTCCTCGTAGATAAAAATCAGCCAGTCTTTGTATTGTCATTGGCACTGAGAGACAGATGGACATCAGATATTTTTTGCTTTCAAGGAACAAGACCAAATTTCTTTTGTTGTGGACATCAAGTATATTTATGTGTAACATTTTCACTAATTCTTTTAAGAATTTTATACAATGTATTTTGATCATATTCACCTTCCCACTCCTCCCAGATCCAAGGCATATTTATTTTTTTTTAATTAGGAAAAATTTTTCATTCATTTTACATACCAATCAAAGATTCCCCCTCTTTCCCTCCTCCCACGCCCCCAGCCTCCCTCCCCCCACTCTCCCCTCTCTGCCACAAGAAGGCAAAATCTGCTATTTACCTAAGTACTATTTTTTGCGTTAAATATGCATACATATGCAAAACAAGTGACCGTCCACTGTGAGAGATGTAGTCCTAACCCCAAGAATCCTGAAAGAGTAAAATCATGCACTGGAAAGACCATTCTTTTGTGTTCTAAGAAACTGTAGGTCAAAACGTATTGTTGTTACATAAAAGGTAACTCAAGAAGGTCCTTGTGAGAAAATATCCGGGATCCTATTCAGAATTATTGTCTTTTTATCTATTTTCTATTTGTGTGTGTGTGGGGGGGGTGTCTTTCTTAATTTACCTGTTTGGGAGTTTTAAGAAATCATAGTTCACAGCTAAAGTAAAAAAGAAAATCTCTAAAGCATGGACCACAGAAGGCATCAAGTGTGGAGTTTCGGAAAGTGGTGGAAAATAGGGGAAATGATACGAAGTGAAGGCTAATAAAAGCACAGCCAGAAGGGAGGGCTTATCAAGTGAATTCCACTGACACCTTTACATGGTAATTTGATAACTAATAAAGTCATTGCAGCAGCAAGAAGGAAATCATCAATGTTAGAAACAAGGTATTAAAAACCAAATAAGATTAGGTGCAGAAGTAAATTCGTTTTTAAAATATCGAAATGGAAAGGAGGGAAAATGGAAATGAGACTTCAAAGTAATAAATCATATAGGCCAAGATTCCAGTCTACTCTTGAGATTAAAAAGAGGGAGTGATTAACAATCCTCTTAAAAACATCTAACACATTTCTTTTTTAAAGTGTTGGGAGCAAGATTATCTGTTCTTCCCAGCACATCTGAACTAAGTTATGGGCCCCCTGCATATAAAGCTTTAACAGCTGCTGTGAGTAAGAATAAATAGGAGATGCACTTGAGTTACCACACTATGAAACTGAAGCTGAGCATCCTTAAACTATAACAGCAGTGTGAGAGTGTTTCCAGAATCCAAAAACACCAAAATACGACCTGTGTATGAGTAGAAGAAAATTATAAATACCCATGATG